ATAGCTTCTTCCTATGTCCATGAAACTTTCAAAAATAAAGAGTAATAAGAAAGCAGTATATCCTGTTTCAGAAAACCCTATCCTGTGCATCTTTATTGATTGAAATTTGCTGGAACTCTATATTCAAGACTCTTTTCTTGTATAAACTCTTAAAAAAAGCAATTGTCAAACATTCAAGACATAACAGTTATATATAAAATGTCTACACAGCCAAAAATACCTGCATTTCTTAAAGCATGTTCTGTTTAATTCATCAAGCAAAAAAATAAAATATAGTCTTTAACCAAAATGAATGATAAAAGTCACTCATTCCTACAGCAACAGTAAAAATAGAAACTAAAATAAAGAAAAAAATAAAACTCATACCAAATAAGATCTGAAAATTAAACAATAAAAATGAAAATCAACAATAAATTTAGACAAAACTGAAAAGATGAAAATGATTAAAGTATTTCCTAAACCAGGGTGTCAAACATGCAGCCTAAGACGCAATTGCTGCTCCATGCACACACTGGGTTTTACATAACTTGCCTAGCTGTTTGTCTTTAAGAATATCACTTACATCAAATTCTTAGCTTTTTTTTTTTAATAAATCAATTGGTCTTCTTGTCTTTTATATATAATATACTTTATCATGCTTGAAAATATAAAATGGCTCCTTTTAATTCTAACGCTAATTATACTATCAGAACCCCAAATTACATCTGGCTCACAGGAGTATATGACCATGACAATCCTGCTCTAACCCAATCTCAAAATAGTGATCAGTCTGTATCAAGCAAAAGTGATATAACTCCCAAATATTTAAGAAATGGCCAAATCAATAATAAATGAAATGAATCTCTGGCCTCTGAGAGCTAAGAAAATATACAGTGAGCTTAGGAGATAGAAAGGGACACCTGAGAAGGAAAAAAAAGAAAAAAGAAAAAAGAAACAATGTACATATCCATTTCTCCAAAACAGGGAAAATGAGTGATCTTTATTACATATTGTAAGAGTGGAAGAGCACCTGTAAATACAAACAATATTATGGAATTAGAGTACTGCTTGGGATCTGTACCAAAATTAATAACAGAACATAAGATGGCCAAGTGCACAGCTAGTCAGTGAACAAGCAAAATGAAAAGTGCAACATCTGGTGAAGTAATTAAGCATCACTGCAGTGTTGAGTAGCCAAACAACCACAACACAATATGCCTAAACAACATCAACTGAGTTATCCTCATAACAGTCACACTGCAAGTTATAATGCCAATCCTTTCCACTCCTAAGTCACACCAACCTCCAGTTCCTGCTAGGTAACATTTATAAATTAATACCATTTAGCCTAAACAAAAAAGATTCTCTAGCAAAAGAATAACAATTAACTTATGCAAGTATAAATTCTGTTTCCAGTGAACCTATGAGAAACACCATCAAGAAGTCACTTTCCCTCAAGCTGAAAATCTGCAGTTTTTTTTTTAATAAATCAATTGGTCTTAAAAAAAAAAAAAAAAGAAACAATGTACATATCCATTTCTCCAAAACAGGGAAAATGAGTGATCATCTCAAAAAAAAAATCCTTTTGTTTGAGATACTTTGAGGGAATATTCTTTGTCACTGGTTAATGCTTTCTAATCAAAATAGCAGAGAGTACTCATCAAAGAATTTCTGATTACCACTGAAGAGATTACCAAGATTATTTATCATTAAAGAAGAGATTACTTAAACTATATTACATATTGTAAGAGTGGAAGAGCACCTGTAAATAAAAACTATATTTTATGATAGATGCTTTTGTTCACACCTTCAATTAATATCAAAATACAACTTGCACGAGACCTTTCACACAGCTACATATACATATGTAATCAAATTTCACAGCATGAATGAAAAATTAATAACTGATATGTTGCAAGAAAAAAAGTCTTGCAGTGCTGCATTAACATTTAAAACTTCATATATAATTAGCAACACTATTATCAATCATTGCTGTACAAAGTAAACACATTCAGCAATAAACAACGTTCATATACGTACTTCATTCTCATCATGGGGATATTGACGCAGTTGGCGGCTGCAACAGCTGTGAAGGGGACAAGTCGGCCAATCAGAGGCGGCAGGGACTGCAATTGCAAGGATGATATTGTTATCTCAAGTCTTTCACTGTGTACTTACTTAATCATTTTATTCTCCCCTTCTTTTAATCACTTCTTTTCCAAAAATATCTTATTTCTAGACTTGCAGCAAGCTATCTTAGGCTATATTTAACAAGAGTTGAATCTTAAACTCTAATATTTGTTCTAAGCCCTTCCTTTTCCTTTTTTTTAAGGAGTGGTATACCAATGTAAGACTTTATAAGGCTGTAAAATATCAACTTATTAGTAAAGCTTGCTTACCAGTGATTTCAAAATATTTGTTGCAATTAAGCTACAAACAATATTATGGAATTAGAGTACTGCTTGGGATCTGTACCAAAATTAATAACAGAACATAAGATGGCCAAGTGCACAGCTAGTCAGTGAACAAGCAAAATGAAAAGTGCAACATCTGGTGAAGTAATTAAGCATCACTGCAGTGTTGAGTAGCCAAACAACCACAACACAATATGCCTAAACAACATCAACTGAGTTATCCTCATAACAGTCACACTGCAAGTTATAATGCCAATCCTTTCCACTCCTAAGTCACACCAACCTCCAGTTCCTGCTAGGTAACATTTATAAATTAATACCATTTAGCCTAAACAAAAAAGATTCTCTAGCAAAAGAATAACAATTAACTTATGCAAGTATAAATTCTGTTTCCAGTGAACCTATGAGAAACACCATCAAGAAGTCACTTTCCCTCAAGCTGAAAATCTGCAGTTTTTTTTTTAAATAACATACCAATATTTTTCCATTCATTATATACATAACTACTGATGTTCTACATAAGAATAGACACAAAATTTTAACAATAAACTTATAGGCCAGAGGGTTTTAAACTACACAGAGTGGAAAGTGTCAAAGACTAAGCAAAAGAATTAACAGGAACTAAAACACATAGTACTGTGGACATACCAACACCATTACATACGAGACTAGCAAAAGTCTAGATCTGTGGTATAGCCTGCAATGCTAGTGTCATTTCCATCGTTACCTGAACTGATATTAACACTTCTCATTCTACCAACCATAGTCCCATGCTTGTACAGTAAATTCCCACAATGCCAAAAGTGTAACTACTGATAAAGGATGCAAAACATAGGATGTCTTTGGAAGAATGCACTGTATTATCAATATATATAATGTTTCATTTATTAATGAATACTCAAAGAAAGTGAAAGTGAACAATAAACAAGTGAAAGCAACATAACACTGATAATAAACAAACAAAAAAAAAATCTTATCGATTTTAACACTGGTAGCACTGAAAGTCACTAAGTTCATTGTGACATATGCAAAAAAGAGTATAAATGAGAATAATTTACTTAACAAAGCAAAAGATGCATGTAACTGATGCATATAAACGAGAATAAACAACTTCACGAAGCTAAAGATACATATAATTGATGCATTTCCATCCAAATCTCCATCAAAACATACAATACTGATAGAAATATAGACAGAAATGTATCACTATGTCTTGCCTTGTGCATTAATAACACATCATTGCCTTGCAAGTCAAACTTAGAAGATAAATGCATCAAACCTTTTAACCTTAACATTAATGGTGCCCTGTGCAAAACAAAACCGAATAAGTAACTTTTTTTCTCTATGTGTCCCCTTTCAAAAGGTATTTTAGAACACAAGAAAATAATAAATACTGAAATATGCCACAGAGTAAACCTATGTGGTTATCTCAAAATTACTTTATTTATAAGATACTTCATCTTATAATAATAGTAAATATAATAGTATATAATAGTAAATAATTAAATAATAAAAAAGAGAATTCAATCCTTCCTTCTCTAAATATGTATAAATAAAAGTTAATTACCTATTCACATATGAATCCTGACCTCAATTTTGAAATATTTTTTTCAATTTCTGATCTTTTTCTTTAATTCCAAATACGCATATAAAAAAGATTGATATTAACCATTTTATAATGAATCTAAAAAATAATAAAGAGAAGAATGCAACAGAAAAAATAATCATAATAAACATAAACATAAAGAAAGTGAGAGAGAGAGATTTAAACAAAATAGAAGAAACCAGAAAAAATCCAAAAAAGAAAAAACAATGAAACAATGAAAGAAAAAGAAAAAAGAAAAAAAAGTAAGAGAGAAAAATAAATTGAGGGACTTTACTGTACACAGAACTAAATTACTTCATTAACTATTCCAGGACTGAATGAGAGTTCAACCAAAAAAAGCAGCAACGCACAAGAGAACAGATGGATGCGACACATTCGCACAGACTACACACACGGTCGCACAAGTTAGGATGACACATAAATGAATAACAAGAGGGTGGGGGAAGAAAATCTTTGTGTCACCTGCACCACTAAATGTCTGTATGACTGATGCATATAGAATGATGACTATTCCTAGGACAGACCTGTTAAGGATGAATACACATTAGCATCCACTGCTCTTACTGTATCTTTTCATAGAGGAGTGTATTTCTAACAGCTGCCTACTCTTTTATTATAAAGGGATTTCAATGTCGGATCTACTTCCTTTTTACTGTAAAATAAGTTCTAATAATAATTATGATGTAGTGGACTTGTCTGAAATCATATCTATGAATGGCAGTTTCAATAAAGAAAATTATACTAACATGAGATCACTGTGTTCTAAATATGGTCTGAATATAAAAAGAAAATAATATCATATAAATATGACATAAGAATTCAAACACTTCACATTTTTTAAAATGAAATCTTAACCAAAGATAAAACTTCTAATAAGTGATGTATGACTGCAAAATACTTTATTGAAAAGGTGTTAAGTAAGAGTAATCAGGTTTTTCTGAAGTGAAGTAATTCCAACAAAAGTAAACTCAAAAAGAAGTTTCTGTAACCAGAATTTTTCTTAAATACCTAAACTAGCAAAATACCCTTCTACCCTCCTCAGCTACAGTATAACACACAATTAGAAGAGATTTTTCATTACGTTTCCAGCTTAAAAGGAAATTTTCTGCCATCATATGCAAGAACTATAGAACTGAAACATTTACACATTACAAACAACCCTGAAAAGACCAGAGCATGGTGAAAAGTCTGCTTCAGCAATAAAAAGATGACAATTCCCTGCATACACTCTTATGACAGCCAAATGACAGAGATCACATCAACCTACAATCAGATGCTGAAGGGTCCCCTATATAGCACTCAGATGTGCAAGAGCTTTCAACCCATCTGTTCTGATGAGATGGTCACTATCAAAGAAACATACAAAGAATCCCATCAAAGGCTAAATATAAGGACTAAACATTAAAGTACTTGCTACAGTATAAACACTCACAGATGAAGTATAAAAAAAGGAAAAAAAAAAAAATTATATGAATAAATAGTTTCAAATTTGGAGAATTCCACCTCTTAGAACTCAAGATCAAACCAGCGATCAGTCAACTATGGTAAAAATGGCACTAATTTTATTTACCTTGACTAAGCTATTGAGGCCTAAGGCAGTGACTAAGGCACCAGTGGTGGCCATTACATAGGATGTTCCCAGTTGTCTGAAAAAGACCACAAACAATATCAAAATCATTCAAGTCTAGTTATCATCACCTCCTATAGGCCTTCATATATAAAAAGATTATTCAAATTAGATATAAACAGAAATAAGTAAATCCATTTCATTCACTCTCATTTTATCAGCCAGTGCTTAATCGAACTGCTAAATCCATTCAAAAAATCATCAGTACACAATCCTCCAGACAAACAGCCGTGAGCAAATTAATAATTCATTAATTCCAAACGACTTACTGCACGCTAATAGGGGAATCTCCAGAGCGGTTGGTGTAATTAACGACTGCATTGAAAGACTGGTTAATCCACTGCCAAAACACAACAGCGGGAGTTGTCCTGCAATAAACATATACGTAACACAAGAGTTCCTAATGTATAATGTAATAACATCATCTAATGGCTAATATTAGACTCGATGTGATGGTCAATGGCTTGTAAAATTATATCTTCGTCATGTATTTCTGACGAAGATACAGATAGTCCCCTACTTAAGAACATTCTACTTATGAACATTCCATACATACAAACAAAATTTCTTAAGTACTAAAGTCCAAAAAATTGTTTGAAAGATGCTAGCAAACATCAAATTTCCCGGGCACGAACATAGGTCAAGAGTCTGGTACTGTATAAGGTATGTCGTACTTATTGGGATTCATTTACAGGTATTCTTAATGTAAACAAAACTTTAAAACAATGGGAAAAAAGGTAATGGAGACCCGACTTTCGACATACAAACAAATCAATTTACAAACAGCCTCTCGGTCCCCATTATGTTCCTAAGTTGGGGATTTACTGTACGTAACGCAAATATTCCTAATGTATAAAGTAATAACTGTATCTAATGGCTAATATTAGACTCAATGTAATGGTCAATGGTTTGTAATATTATATTTTCGTCATGTATTTCTGATGAAGATATAATCGAAACCAGTCAAATACATCTCTTGTACTGTGAAGATATTCATTCTCATTTATATCTTTTCTACATTTGTAATATTAGATTTACACATAGTTTCCAAATAAAAAAAAAAAAAAAAAAGAAAAGAAAAAAAAATAGCCGAGAATATTTACCGAGAATTCAAAGGTCAAGTTGTTATATTATGATGATAATTTTCTTTTTATTTTATAAACAGATGATCAAATTAATGCAATATATCAATTTATCATAAAGTTGCACAATCTATAATCCCAAACAAAATACTTGCAGTCATCCTTAATTATATGATAAGATAAAGGAAATGATAAGAAAGCTACTTAAGATAGATTAAAAGAAAAATCATATATGTGTGTGTGTGTGTGTGTGTGTGTGTGTGTGTGTGTGTGTGTGTGTGTGTGTGTGTGTGTGTGTGTGTGTGTGTGTGTGTGTGTGTGTGTGTGTGTGTAAATATATATATATATATATATATATATATATATATATATATATATATATATATATATATATATATATATATATAAAGAAATATACATATATAATTGTATACATATATATATATATATATATATATATATATATATATATATATATATATATATATATATAAAATATTATTCAAATTAGATATAAACAGAAATAAGTAAATCCATTTCATTCACTCTCATTTTATCAGCCAGTGCTTAATCGAACTGCTAAATCCATTCAAAAAATCATCAGTAAACAATCCTCCAGACAAACAGCCGTGAGCAAATTAATAATTCATTTATTCCAAACGACTTACTGCACGCTAATAGGGGAATCTCCAGAGCGGTTGGTGTAATTGACGACTGCATTGAAAGACTGGTTAATCCACTGCCAAAACACAACAGCGGGAGTTGTCCTGCAATAAATATATATGTAACACAAGAATTCCTAATGTATAATGTAATAACATCATCTAATGGCTAATATTAGACTCTATGTAATGGTCAATGGTTTGTAATATTATATTTTCGTCATGTATTTCTGATGAAGATACAGATAGTCCCCTACTTAAGAACATTCTACTTATGAACATTCCATACATACAAACAAATCAATTTACAAACAGCCTCTCGGTCCCCATTATGTTCCTAAGTTGGGGATTTACTGTACGTAACGCAAATATTCCTAATGTATAAAGTAATAACTGTATCTAATGGCTAATATTAGACTCAATGTAATGGTCAATGGTTTGTAATATTATATTTTCGTCATGTATTTCTGATGAAGATATAATCGAAACCAGTCAAATACATCTCTTGTACTGTGAAGATATTCATTCTCATTTATATCTTTTCTACATTTGTAATATTAGATTTACACATAGTTTCCAAAAAAAAAAAAAAAAAAGAAAGAAAGAAAGAAAGCGAAAAAATGAGAGAATGAGAGTAAGAAAGAAAGAAAGAGAGAAAAAATGAGAGAATGAGAGTAAGAAAGAAAGAAAGAGAGAAAAAATGAGAGAATGAGAGTAAAATAGAAAGAAAGTAAGAAAAAAATGAGAGAATGAGAGAAAGAAAGAAAAAATGAGAGAATGAGAGAAAGAAAGAACGAAAGAAAGAAAGAAAGAAAGAGAGGAAGAAAGAATGAGAGAAAGAAAGAAAGAAAAAATAAAAGAGAGAAAGAAAGAATGAGAGAAAGAAAATGATAAAAAGAAAGAAAGAAAAAAAAAGAAAGAAAGAAAGAAAGAGAGAGAGAAAGAAAAAAAAAGAAAAAGAAAGAAAGAAAGAAAGAAAAAAAGAAAGAACAATCATCAAAACAAATTAAATACCTATATCTAGTCACAACATCTCTGGCATTCTCTAGCTGGGCAGGAGTGCAGAGCAGATTCATCGGATTGGTCGTGGTGAAGAAATGACGAGCACGACCCTCATACGTGCTCTGGTCCCACCGAGGTTCGTCAAGGTTAACGCGACTCATGGTTCTGAAACAGGTAGGTGTAATGCAATAAAGATGATAACATGGTAAAAAAAAATTAACATTACTGAGCTGGATTTTTTTTTCAGCAATACCATTTAACATCTAGTAACCATATTTTATTTACCATAACTTAACAAAATTTTGTTAAAAATCAAGTGAAATTCATTAAAAACTTTAGGGGTCTATCAGCTTACAAAAATCTAAGGATCATTTTCATTTGGCTTAAATTTACATACATATTAAAATAATTAGATTCAGATACAAATCCTTTTGCACTGAATTATTTTTAAAAATAATAATAATCTATATATAATACTGATAAAATGAGTATCTCAGGCTAAAAGTAAAAGATTTATATTTGCATGTAACATAAGTTTTCTTTCATTTTATCTAACCATTGAATATCTTCTGCAAAGAAAAGAATATTATAAACTCTTGAAATATATAATTAATATCTTTATAATTCTGGTTTGAACTATATTCAATGTTATTCCATTTATAATTAAAATATGTAGATATGTAGCATTTGACATGACTTTTGTATGAAAATGTCCGTAATAGTATGAACTTAGAAAAGATAATTATATTTATCTAGCAGAGAAGTTATTCATTTTAATCCAGTTTCTGAACTATAATGTTCTATTCTATGACATTTTTTGCAATCCATCTTAAATACATTTGAATAAACTTGAATAAATAACTTATAATCATTAACTGTGGAACAAGATTTGAAAATAATGTAAAATACATCAAATACTGTTTTCTAAACTCTATACAACTAACGGATGCCTTCTTTCCTTGACTTAAATCATCATTATTTTACTTAAATCACTATTTAGGACAAAATACGCAGAGTGTCATAAGCTGCCACCATATACTATATCGGAAATCGAATCTAAAATCATTATTACCAATCACTCCCAATCTCTGCCATCAAAACCCTCAACCATGCTTACATTTCACTCCTAAATCTGTCTTAATCAAAACTTTCTTAGTGAAGAACAAATACACAAAAAACCGGTTAAGAATTAGATTTAAAAAAAAAAAAATTGATGCCAAGATTGCAACGGGAGAACACCTCACTCAGCATGGCACTTCTTATACCAAATTCAAGGAGTTCAATCTATCTACCAGCATCCTATATCCATTAATCCTAATCTGCAACTAATCCTCAATAATCATAGAATAATATCTTTCAAAATCAAGTACCTGACACTCCAAAACTACCAAAAAAAGAGTTAAGAATCTGTCGTCTGCGTAATGCGTGTAGTGATGCCCCGGTCGCTTACACTGCAATGGACGACGGCTTTCTGATGCCCACTTATCTTAAGCTGAAATTAGATATACTGGTCATTTTTGGACTTTTAATATTAACTAACACTGTAGTAAATGTTTTTTGTTTTTTTTTCTAAATCTAACTGGCTTATATATATATGTCATATTATATTTCATTCCTATTCAAATCGT